AAGGAAGGAAGGAAGGAAGGAAGGAAGAAAGAAAGGAAGAAAGGAAGAAAGAAAGAAAAATGACACCTGGGGTTGACTTCCAGCCTCCACATGTGAGTGCACACATATTCACATGTGCTCAAACACACACACACACACACACACACACACACACACACACACACACACTTAAAAGCATAAATTTTAAATGCAGACAGAATTTTTATACAGCTTTTGTATCCTCATACTTATCATGAATGAATGACATCATTTAATTTTTGTGTATGCTAAAGCAATTATCAATAGTCTAGGAACAAACAAACTTTGGTTTGATATTGGGTAGATGGTAGCTGGATTTGGCTTATTGGGTGTAGCTAGAAATTGGTTCTTAACGGCAATTTACTTTTTCATACCATTGTTAGTTGTTTCTAGTTCAGATGTTTGCAAATAGAACTGCTGTAGGCTTTCCTCTAGCAATAGGAAGAGCATTGGTGGGTCGTGTCGATCATCAGTTACAGCTCATCATGGTGTTATGTGTCCCATTTGGTTCAAGTGCTATATGATGCAGATGTTCTCTCTGTTTTAGCTGTTCCATTCAATGTGCTGGCAGAGTCACCTTGTGGCTTCAGTTTGCATTTCGCTGATGCTAATGAAGCTGAGTATTCCATAGCCCATTTGAACCTACTTTTGTAAAGTGCTATTTTTTATTTTTGAAAATGTATTTTATGTGTACGGATGTTTTGCTTGCATGAATGCTTGTACACAACATGCAAGCCTGGTGCCTACAGAGGCCAGATGAGGGCGTTAGCCCTCTGGGACTGGAGTTACAGACAATTGTGAGCCACCATGTGGGTTCTGGGAATTGAACTCATGACCTCTGGAAGAGCAGCCTGTGCTCTTACGCTCTGAGCCATCTCTCCAGCCCACCCACCACCCACCTTGTTTTTGTTTTTGTTTTTGTTTTTGTTTTGAAAGAGGGTCTCTCTCTCTCTCTACAGCTCTGGCTGGCCTGGAAGTTGCTATGTAGACCAGACTGGCCTTAACATCCCAGATATTCGCCTGCCTCTGTCTCCCAAGTGCTCGGATTAAAGGTGTAGACAACCACAGCTGGCTGTAAAGTACTCTGTTGGCTGGACACGTTTTCTGCTAACCTCTTCTTGTTGGTTTGTGTGAGCTCTTTACACATTCTGAACACCAGTTGTTTGGTGGGTGCCTATCGATGGCCTTTTGCTGTTTTAACATTCTGGGTCCTCTCCCACCCTTGTTTTATTTTCTGTGTAGTGTATGTGTTCTCTGTGTATGTGCACATGTGGGTGCACATAAACATGTATGGATATAGAGGCCAGAGGTTGACCTTTGATATTTTCTTCTATGACTATCTTATTTTTTGAGGCCAGGCATCTCATTAAACACAGCACTCACTGATTGGCTAGACTGCCTGGCCAAATTGCTCTGGAGAGCTCTCTGCCTCTCCCTATGCCACTCCCAGTCCCACTATGCCTGGCTTTTTACCCAGCATGGGGACTGGGGCATGAAAAGATTGTCCTGTACATCTGAACTCAAGTCCTCACACACCTCACCAAACACTTTACCATCACCCTGTCTTAATGTTTAAATGCACAGAAATTATTCATCTCAACACATTTCAATATCTACTTTTCCTATGATTAGCAATTTTCACTTTGAAAAATGTCCATATAATCCAAAATTGTGAAATACTTTTGTTTTCTGCTAAAAGTTATATTGTTTCACTTTTCACACTTAGATCTGTATTCCATCTATCTTCGAGTATCTGAGTAGAGTACAATATGGAAATAAACATCTGTGGTGATATTTGTAATCTAAGAAATAAAGCTTGCCTGAAGATCAGAGAGACAAAGGAACAAGCC